CTGCAGGTGGGGAATGCCTATGTCATCGTCTACTCCGTCACTGACCGGGGCAGCTTCGAGAGTGCCCCGGAGCTGCGCATCCACCTGCGCCGCGCACGCCAGGCCGAGGACATCCCCATCATCCTGGTGGGGAACAAAACTGACTTGGTGCGATGCCGTGAGGTTTCTGTCGAAGGTGAGTGGGCGTCTGGCTGGTGAGGATGGCTTGGAGGGTTTCATGCCCAGCTGCTCCCCCCACATCTGTCCCTTTGTCCCTGGATGTGCAGCTACTGTCATGCATGTGGCAGTGCCTGTCCCCCAGTGCCCAGGGTGCCAGTGGGGCCGTGCCCCCTCTCTGCCCTTCCCTTGCAGAGGGTCGTGCCTGTGCCGCTGTCTTTGACTGCAAGTTCATCGAGACATCGGCAGCTCTGCAGCACAACGTGGATGAGCTGGTGCGGCAGATCCGCCTGCGCCGCACGGGCAAGGAGTCCCAGCCGCACCCTGTGCCTGGCCAGAAGCGCAAGGAGAGCCTCACCAGGAGAGCTCGACACTTCCTCGACAGGCTGGTGGCCAGAAACAGCAGTAAAGCAGCCCTCAAAGTCCGCTCCAAGTCCTGCCACGACCTGTCTGTGCTCTGAGAGTCGCCATCCCATCCCTCTGCACATGCCAGCTGGGACTCTCCGCTCTGCCAGCAGCGTTGCCTGTGGCTCCATGGAGAGCCCAGACAGGGCCAGGGTGATGCTGAGGACATGGGGCTGTTTTCACCAGGGCTGAGGGATGCTGAGGTGCTCTGGAGCCAGTCACTTCCCCTCCAGGAGGGGGATCTAGTGGGGCCAGGTCCACAGAACAGAGGGTGGGATGGGTACCTGCACTTGGGGTGATGGGATCTTGGATCACAGCTGCTCCTGGGGAGCTGGAGGTGAGGGATGGCCATGCTCTGGCACAGGGCTGGAGGCTGCCAGGAGTGTGGCAGGTCCTGCTTGTGGTGCCCATCCTTTGCAGGGCATCAGGGACTGGCGAGTGCACCATAGCATGTCCACCTTGGACATCCTGGAGCCTGTCTGGGGAGAGGGAACGGGGAAACACTGGCAGCATCACCTGGCACCTCAGCCTCTCTGTGCCAGGGCTTTGTGCCGTGTCTCCTTGGCACCAGTGTTTCTTGGATGGAGGTTTTTCTGCTGTCTCTGTACTGGTGCAATGGGGAAACCCTTGATCTGCAGAATAAACTGCATCAGGGAGGTGCTGGTCTCTGCTGGATCCCTGCCCTTGGAAACCACATCTGGGAGCCACGTGGCTGGATTGAAGTCCTGTTCCTTGCCTGTGGCCAGGGCAGAGGACCTGCCTCTTGCTCTAGCCAGGCCTCAGCAGCCTCCACCTCCATCAGCTGGGACATCTCAGGGCAAGGAGAGCCTCTGTCTGGGGCTTCTTTGGCCACCCTTGGTGGAGGTCCTGATTCCTCACCCACTGGTCCAGCATTATCCCCTGTGACAGCAGAAGCTCCAAGCTCCCCTGCACCTCCCAGCTCCCAGTCTGCTCTGGAAAAGCCTTTGGGAATAGCTGAGCTCTGCTGAGCCACAGGTTTCAAGCCCCTGAGCACTATGGGAGCCACAGCCTGGGCAGGGAGCTGGTTGCTTGGTGGCTCCTGGTGCCCTGGGAAGGGGCAGGGAGCAGGAGCCGAGCAGCATGGCACGGCCGGGAAGGGACGTGCTTGGCTGCAGCAAGCAGTGAGTGACCCTGAGCATCCAGGGAGATGATGCTGGAGCCGTGTGGGCTCTGCCTGTTGTTTTTAGGCTGTGCTGCTGGCCAGCAGTCGGGACGCTGCGGAGGAACCTGCTCAGCACCCCGGGCCCAGTGCCAGGGAGGATCAGTGGTGCCCTCCCACCCGGGTCAGGAGTTTCCGCTTGCTCCGTGGCTTAGAGCGTGGGGAACCGCTGGCCGTTGGTCAGCACAAAGGGGACACTGGGATGGGACAGCACCCTGTCCCTGTGGGAGAACAGTCTCTCCAGAGGTGCAATCCCAAGTGAGGGCTCCCAGCTTTGTCCTCTGAACGAGGGAGGTGGGTGCTCAGGCTTTTTTCCATGCTGCTCTGTGACCCTGGTGTTGCTGCTCACTCCTTGCTGCTGCTCTGCTGCAGCTGCTCTGCCCTGGAGCTCCTGGCACGCTGGCTCCTGGTGCTGCTGGAGGTGATGCTGTGGTTCACACAGCATCAGCCACGCCGGAGCTGGGGGCTGCACCCCAGCCTTGCTGCTGCCGGTCCCTCCCACAGCTGCAGCAGGCATTTCCCTGTGGTAGGAGGCGGAGGGGCCACGGGATGGAAAGTTGGCAGCCAGCGGAGAGGGGAGTGGAAAGAATGAGCTCAAACCCAGAAAAATGCGGCCGTGCTGAAGAGTGGGAGGAGAGGCCAAGGGGGGCCACAGTGAGGCGCTGGGAAACAGAGGGAGGAAGGAGGAGGCGCTGGTGGGGGGTTGGGACTGCCTGTGGCCCCCAGCTGGGCCCACACCTGAGGCAGGTAGTGCCAGGGCTCAGTGGCATCAGCCCCTTCAGCAAGTGCTCCTGGGGCCATCCCAGTGCTATCCATCACAGTGCCCTCCATCCCTAGGTGGCCATTCACCCCAGAGCCATGTGTCCCCAGGTGGCCATCTATCCCAGTGCCATCCGTGTCAGTGCCATCTGTCCTAATGCCATGTGTCCCCATGTGACCATCTATCTCAGTGCCATCCATCCCTGGGTGGCCACCAGCTCCAGTGCAGTTTACCCCAGTCCCACTGGCTCCCTGGTGCCATTTCACTCCAGTGCCATCAGCTCCAGTGCCTGCCACCCTGCTTGCTGCCTCCCTGGGACCAGGGGCTCCTCTGGCTCCTAGCTGGCATGTGGCTGTGCTGAGACACTAGTAACAGGCTGCCCTGGCCCTTCCTGCACTTCCTCGGGGGGTTCCCAAGCCAGGCTGGGTTTTAGGGGGAGGGTGGGCACTCCAGGGGTCTGTGAGGAGGTCAGTAAGGAGGTCAGAAGCTGTGCTGTGCCAGGCAGGGACAGGGTGAGAAGCAGTGGGGTGTGCCTGGGCACGCTGCCTGCTGCTGCCCATCCTTCTCTGTGGGAGCAGCAGTGGCAGGGAGAGGGCAGTGTCCCAGGCAGGATTCCAGCCCCACAGAGAGGGGCTCCCGGGAGGCCTTCCCATCTGCCCTCTGCCTGAAACACGGAACTATGAATCACCCTGGTCCTGAAATAGATTCCTTTTACTTAAAAAAAAAAAAAAAAAAAGAAGAAAACATTTTTTAAAAGTTAAAGACTTGCAATTTAATCTCTGCTGTGCTCCCTTCATCTGCCCATGGCTCAGACCTAAACTGGGGCAGCATCATTTCACTGTGCCCAGTTTTCACCAATCTTTGCTCCTCTGCAGACCCTCACCCCAGCAATGGGGACCCATGGTACCAGCACAGAGAGTGGGAAGGCAGAAGAGAAGGAGGAGTAAGGGTCTTGGTGGCACAGCCAGGCTGCCATCGGCTTGGAATACTTGAGGAAAACACTTTTCAGCCAATATTCCAGCAGAGCCCTGATTCCAGTCTGGAGTGGGGAGAATTTGCTGCCCTTAACGAGCCGTTTTTATAGAGGAGCTGTGTGACTACAGATGGGCTGGGAGGGATCACGGCGACTCCCGATGGCACTGGGGGAGCTTAGGGAAATGGTATAAGGAAAACCCAGGGCTGGATGGAGAAGCACTCAAGAGGCCCTAACACAACTCTCTGAAGCTGAGAGCAGCTGGACCTGCCACTCACATGCGGTTCTGGGGGCTGCGGAGAGCTGAGACCCCCTGCACACAGGGACCATCCCAGGCTGTGCCCTGCCCATCTTACCGCGGGGTCTGGGCGTGAAGGGACGGGCAGGGAGGGACGGAGGCACGAGGATCCAGAGGACAGAGCAGGGCCCGAGCCTGGATCACACTCCGAGGGGCGGGGGGACG